CTGATCAAATATAAAATAAGTAAATAAATAAATAAATAAAGTTAAAAGAAATCATTCTTAAAAAAAAAAAAACATACAAAAAGAGATTAAAACAAACAAACAAACAAAACCTGAAAGTATCCATAAATTTGCAAGTATACAAGGAAGTCTTTATGTTTAAAATGCTTCAAATGCTTCAGCTAAGATATGGAAGAAATCAAATATCAATGCACAAATGAGTGGATATGTAAAACGTGACATATACAGACCACGAGGTATTATTTAGCTTTGAAAAGAAAAAAATCTTGTCAGATAAACTGGCTGAGTGAAATAAGCCAGTCATGAACAGACAAATACTATATACTTTTACTTATATGAGGTCCTAAAACAAATTCATAGAGACAGAAAGAATGTTGGTTGCTAGGAACTGGAGAAAGAGGGAAATGGGAGTTTGCTGTTTATGGGTAAAGAGTTTCCGTTCTGCCAAATGAAAACGTTCTGGAAATCTGCTGGACAATGTGAGTATAATTAATGCTACTGAACAGTAACTTAACAACAGTTAAGATGGCAAAATTTTTTTGTTTGTTTGTTTGTTTTTAAGAGAGATTTTTGCTATAGGGTGTGTGTGCTCGCTGGAGAGACAAAAAGAGACAGAGAAACAGAAAGTGAGAAATCACTCCCCGGGGGGATGATCTCGTCTCAATCCCTTCTCTTCCAGTCTCCCCTTGGGCTTTTGGGCACACATGTACATGCACCCAGCATGTTTTAAGTCACCAAGTCCAGGACTCGAACCGCAGCTGACTATGTGGGAGTCCAGTGATGTTACCATTAAACCTGCTGGTCCCCAAATTTACGTGTTTTTTTTGTTTTGTTTTTCTTTTTTTTTAGAGAGATTTTTGCTATAGGGCACATGTGCTTGCCAGACAGAGAAAGAGAAAGCAAGAAATAAGCCCCCAGGGGAAGTGGCCACGTTGCAATCCCCTCTCTTCCATTCTCCTCTTGAGATCTTGGGCATGCACACACATGTGCCCAGAATGAGTTTTAAGCCATCGGGTCCGGGACTTGAACCACGGTTGATTATGTGGGAGTCCAGTGACGTAACCATTACACTATCTGCTGGTTCCAAAATTTACGTTTTTTTAAACCACATAAAATTTAAAAATAGAAATGCCCCCAAATGAATCAGTACCAAATTAACTCACAGTTCCATCCTTATTACTTCTAACGAAAGACACTAGGATGATACTTTTGTCTCTTCCTTGGTATTTGTCTACCGTATTTACTTCGACTGTCCCAACCGAAGACTGTGCCATTAAATCACTGATGATCTTCAGCTGCTGCCTGTATGGGGCAATGATACCAATATCAGAGGGACTGCATCCAGCCTAAAACGAAAGACACAGTTTAAAGTAAAAAATCCTGATTTATAAGTTATTTAAACTTTACTGAATTTATTAAATTTATATTATGTATACTTAAAAAACCTGATGTTATAATAGATTTTACTCTCTCCAGGAGTAAAAACTAAATTTGCTCTAAATCTAAGTCTATATTTCCTGTGATAAAATAATCCCATACAGAGGCCAGTAGGCCTCTTCTTTTTTTTAAATAATTATTTTATTTAACTTTATTTATTTATGTATTTTAATTTGACCAGAGAGGAACAAAGTAAGAGAGAGAGAGAGAGAAAGAGAAAACCGCCAGATCCAGGACTTGAACCACAGGTGACCATGTGGGATTCCAGTACTCTTAATCACCATGCCACCTGCCGGTCCCTAAAATAATTCTTAAAAAAAAAAAAAAAACTTAAAAAAAAAAAACCCACAAAAACATAAACATTCCTTGATTTTTTAAAAAAGAATTCTTTTATTTAACTTATATTTATTTATTTATTTTAATTTGTCCAGAGAGGGATAGAGTGAGAGAGAGAGAGAGAGAGAGAAAGTGAGAAAGCAAGCTGCCAGGTCTGGGACTCAAACCACAGTCGGCTATGTGGGAGTCCAGCACCCTTAATCACCACGCCAACTGCTGGCCCTTGACATTCCTTGATTTTTAAAGGGTCATCCAGCATAATGTTTTGCATGCTTTAAAACAGTGCTGCCAAATCAATAAACAGTGCAAAGAAATACATTTTACTTTCTGCAATCCGTTACATAGAAAAGGTTCTCATCCCTAATCATACTGACTAGAGCACAGTATTTACAGCATTAAAATTAACTGACATTACAAATTCGGCAAAATGAAAATCCCAAATGCCATTTTAAGAAATAACATAGCATAGGTAAGTTTTCTCAAAATAAAACAAACAAAACAAAAATCAGGCTTCAGACCCCTTATCTTCATAAACAAGATTAACATTATATCTAACGTTTCTTACAATCTAATATTCTATTACTCTGCACCCTAATATTAATTACCCTTGAAAATCCAAAATTACCTTAATAAAGACTGATGTCAGGAAAACTATGAGCTTCGCCTCTGTTATATTGCTCACACCACCTTTCTCCACTTGTTCTGGTGCTGGAACCTATGTAGAAAAACATGCAGCCTACTTAGAACAACCTCTAAAGTAGGTGTGAGGGCACAGGTGGCCACACAGCCAATACTGCCAGATTTGGAGACAGATGGCAAATACCTAGATCTTTGTTTTGTTTTGCTTTCAGGTATATGCGTTCAGCAGAGAGAGAAGGCACGAGAGGGAGAGAAAGTGAAAAAAAAAAAAAAAATCAGCCCCCTGGGGTGACGACCATGCTGCAATGCCTTCTCTTTCATTTTCTTCTTGGGATTTTGGGCATGCACACACATGCACCTGGCCAAGCCACTGGTTCTAAGACTCGAACTGTGCAGTTGGCCATGTGGCATCCAGCCTCCTTAACTTATACACCACCTGTTGGTTATTTTCTCCCTCCCTTTCTTTCTTTCTTTCTTTTTTTTTTTTTTTAATGCCAGAGGGTGCATGGACAAGAGAGAAAGAAAACACTCCCCCTATAACGGGGCTTTGTCATGCCTCAATCCCCTACCCTTCAATTCTCCATCCTGTCAAGATCCTGGGCATGCATGTATGCACCCAGTATGCTTTTCAAGTCACTAGGGCCAGGGTTCAAACACGTCAGCCGTGGGGGATGTGACTTCTTTGCACAACGCCTAATTACTGGGCTACAGGGCTGGTCCCCTAAAAATATGTTCCTCTCAAATGGTGAAGTACACTGAGGTGAGGCACACTGCTAAGATGCTGTGCTACGCAGGCTGGAAACACATGGCAGGAGGCAGGCTAAGTTTGATTCTCAGTCCAACCTAACGTCCTTGGCACAGTGCACCTGTAATTCCAGAGACCAGGGGAGGCTGAGACAAGAAGACTGAAACATTAGTCTGGCTTGGGCAACACAGCAAGATCCTGTCTAAAAAGAACAGGACGTAATGGTATACATGTAGTCCTGGCTAGGAGGCTGAGGTATGAGAATTGTGATGAGCTGAGATCCTGCCTTTAAACATAGGGGGCTTGGGACCAGCAGGTGGCATGTTGGTTAAGGCACTGGACACTCCCACATGGCCAGCCACGGTTCGAGTCCCGGATCTGGTGGCTTGCTTTCTCTCTGCTCGCTTTCTCTCTCTCTCTGTCTCTCTCCGGTCAAATTAAAATAAATGAATGAATAAATAAAATTGAATAAATAATTCTTTAAAATAAATAAATAAATAAATAAACAAACACAGGGGGCCAGACCAGCAGATGGTGTAATGGTTATGATGCTGGACTCCCACATAGTCAACAGAGGTTTGAGTCCCATAATTGGTGGCTTAAAACTCACACCAGGCGAATATGCGTGCATGCCTAAAATCCCAAGAGGAAAATGGAGGAAAAGGGACTGTGGTATGGTCAGCCCCCTAGGGGGATGATTTCTCCCTTTGTCTCTCTTTGTCTGTCCTTCCAGGAAGCACACTCGGCCTGTAGCAAAAAAAAAAAAAAAAAAAAAGTTCTGAGGCTGGCAAGTGACATGGTGGTTAAGGTGCTGAACTTCCACATGGCCAACTAGGGTTCAAGTTGCAGACCCAACGACTTGAAAAATCATACCAGGCAGATATATGTATATGCTCAAAATCCCAAAAAGAGAATGAAGAGATGGCAGCATAGTTATCCCCCCAGGAGGTAATTTCTCACTTTCCCTCTCTCTCTCCAACCCAGCAAGTACATATACCCTAAAACCTAAAACAAACAAACAAACAAACAAAAAAATAGGGACCAGCAAGTGGCATGGTAGTTTAAGGCACTGGACTCCCACATGGCCAAGTCTGGGACCCAGTGGCTTGCTTTCTCACTTTCTCCCTCTTACTTTCTGTTCTCTCTCTGCTGAGTGCATGTACCCTATAGCAAATTTAAAATAATAATAGGGGTCAGCAGGTGGCATGGTGGTTAAGGGCACTGGACTCCAACATGGCCGACTGCAGTTCAAGTCCCAGACCTGGCGGCTTGCTTTCTCGCTTCCCTGCTTTCTCTTTCTCTCAATCTGTCCCTCTCTGGTCAAATTTAAATAAATAAATAAATAAATAAAGTTAAAATAGGGACCAGCAGGTGGCATGGTGGTTAAGGTGCTGGACACTCCCACATGGCGACCACGGTTCAAGTCCCAGACCTGGTGGCTTCCTTTCTCCCTTTCTCTCTCTCTCTGTGTGTGTGTGGTGCCGGCACGTGGTGTAGTGGTTAACATGCTGGACTCCTATGCATGTTAACCACCCTAGGGAAGTGATTTCTTCCTTTCTGTCTGTCTCTTTCTGGAGAGTGCACATGCAATATAGCAAAAATCTCTCTCAGAGGGAAAAATAAAAAGAAAGTCCTTTGTGAGAACAATTTACCTGAATGTATTTCCCAGACCCTGCCTGGCTCTAGATTTAAAGATGAAATCAAATTCTTTTTTTTTTTGGAATTGAGGGACTTTTGCAATAGGGCAAATGCACCTGCCAGAGAGACAGAGAGAGACACAAAGTGAGAAATCGCCCCCTAGGGGGATGGCCAGCTGCAATACAAGTCCCAGACTTGAAACTCACGCCAGTTGCGCGTGCATGTGTGCCCCAAATACTGAGAAAAGAATAGAGGAGAAGGGATTATGGCATGGCCATGCCCCCTAGAGAGTGACTTCTCATTTTCTGTGCCTCTGTCTCTCTAGCAAGTACACCTGCCCTATAGCAAAAATCTCTAAATAATTAATTAATTAATTAATTTAATTAATTCTAAAAATGTGAAGGTGAAAGAATCAAAAGAAATAAATGCTGGGACTGGCAGGTGGCGTGATGGTTAAGGGCATTGGACTCCCACGTGGCCAACTGCAGTTCGAGTCCTGGATCTGGTGGCCTACTTTCTCACTTTCTCTCTCTCTCTCTATCTCTCTGTCTCTTCCCCCCACCCTCTGGTCAAATAAAAATAAATAAATAAAGTTAAATAAAATAATCAAAAGAAATAAATGCTATCAGTCACTGACAGAAAGCCACACTAAGGCAATCCATCTTAATTATCCTGTGATTCAGGCTCAGCTCTCTAGGAAAGCCAACCACATACTGGGTTTCACGTACTTTCCCTCGCTATCCCTCACTGTACAGGAATCAAAAGCAGAAAAAGGAAGTAACTTGTCCAAGGGCTCACAGTAAGTCGTGACAGTAAGATTCAAACACAAATCTGACTCTAACATCAGTGCTTCTTCGCTCATGCAGATAATGGAGCAGATAAGGTTCTCTAGGTTCTTCAGTGCCTGATAAAACTCAAGGACAACTTTAGGGCTATGTCACCTCTATGCAACCTGTACGTATTTTTAATACAACTTATTTAGAATCTTAATGCCAGAAAGTAGAAACCCAAGTAGCAAAAATAATGTATAAGTAATAATTGGTAGGGAAAATAATTATAAATTACAGTTAATAAACTGGAATCATAATTTTAAAAAGTAGTCCTTTGTGGGACCAGCAGATATCTTAATGGTTATGTTGCTCGACTCCCACAGAGTTGACCACAGTTCAAGTCTTGGACACAACGACTTAAAACTCACGCTGGTGTGTGTGTGCATGCTTGCCTAAAATACTAAGAGAAGGGACTGAGACGTGGCCAACCACCCTAGGGAAGTGATTTCTTCCTTTCTGTCTGTCTGTCTCTGGCAAGTGCACATGCAATGTAGCAAAAATCTCTCTCAGAAGAAAAAAAAATAAAGGCAGTCCTTTGTGAGATCAATTTACCTGAATATATTTCCCAGACCCTGCCTGGCTCTAGATTTAAAGATGAAATCAAATTCTTTTTTTTTTT